AACTTTTATTAACTTGGTTTGAGTAACATAGCAGACAGCAACCATGGCAGTATGGAACTGGAAGAGGGGTACTCTCGGTTCATTGCCTTTCAGCTTTCAAACGCCACCTGGAAATGACAGGTAGTCAGATTTCATAGTGCTCAGTTCTGGGCAGAGATTTACCTCATCTGTCTCTGGCAAGATACTTCACTGACATGTTCCCATTAACTTTAGCTTCTAAGTGATCTTAAGATTAATTTAATATTAGGAGCTTTGATGTGGTCTGGCACTGATGTGACACAGATTTATTAATCAGAGAGAAGACGTCCTCAGAAAGAGAGTGATATAAAGTCACACCACTGCTCCTGAAAAAATGGTCATACAGCAGTAATTTGGAATCCAGCTAGGCTGTGATGATTCAAACACAAATAAAAGGTCACTGAAAAATGTTCTCAATTAAAGAAGTCTTTTTATTGTTTTATTTTCTGATTGATTGCCTTATTCCCCCAACAGAGGTTTTAGTTTTATTTAAATTGAACTTCATCCATCTTTTTGTCATCTATATCCCGATCTCAGACAGACACTTGGAGAAGCTTCCCACTCAACCATATGTGTTGAAGACAGTTTTGGGGAGAGTAACATTCTCCGTCTTCTCCATTTCTTTCTTGGATTTTTTTCTGTTTATAATCATCATCAGGACATTGATATATAAAATAGCTTTTCTTATACGAACTGCTGAGTAATTTAAGAGGATGAAGGATGGTGGGACTTTGGACTGAGAGATGGGAAGGCATCTTTCCTCCTCTCTGTCATCTTTTTCTACCCTTTTCTCTGCCTTCTGAAGATCTACTCGTAAGTGTGTGACTTTCTATTTTATAATGAAGTTGACTTATGTAGATGCTGTATTGTGAGATTTGAAAGGTATCGAAGTTCCTGATTCTGACCAACCTGGTTAGGTTCCTAAGCCTTATTGTGGTTAATTAAGACTAGTTTCAGTGAGCAATATCCACCTTGTTCACTCTTTGGTGATCAGTGTGGTGGTAGAAAATGTCTCTCTCCATCTTTAGTACTCTAATTTCTTAGAAAATATGGTCCTCCAGAGTAAGAGTATTAAATACACTTAAGTAAGTAACTATCAGACCTGTATGCTAGAATTAGATGCTAATAAGTATAAGAGAGTGTTGTTTTAAAACAATACAATCTGGAATATGGTCATGATCTAGACATGCTTGTCTCCCTTTTGACTTACCCTTCCATTATTAGAGTGAGTTGTTTGACAGTACTGAATTAATTAGAATTAACTAGTAGTTAAGAATCTTAATTTGCAACTTCTGCATAAAAGGATTGTGTGATTTCAGAAAATTTTATTAACAAGCTGGAACTATGTCTTAATTCAGACATTTCTTTGGGGTGCTCAGATTTTTCTTTCTGCAGCCTTCCAGTGTTCCTTCTGTCCATTCTGATCCTTGGACATGGACTCATGGACATCCAGTTATTCTGGTGGAGGAAAAGTTGTATGATAAATGAAGTCTTTGTCTTTTATTGTATAATAGATGTTACCGTTGGCCCATGTTAGCAACGACAAGAAGCAGATCACACTAATTAATCCTCAGGCAGTGAATCTTGATGCCTATAAAGAGAAGCTGGAACAAGCAATTAAATCCTATGAAAGGCAAGTCTACTCATCAGAAATTTGTCGTGTTTGCAGTCTAATTTCAGATTTTTCTTATGCAGTGGGTATTTGCTGACATATGCTTCGCTCAGTACTGGTAATTCTGCACATTGGCATACTTTAATCCACCATCAACATGTAGGAGAAATGTTTCTTTTCTTCAAAAAAATGCAGAATGAAAAAACAGATAATAGGCAAGGAGATAATAAATAACATGTTGCTCATATTATGTTTGTTCAAAGACAAAAAAAAAAAAAGAAATCTTTTACTTTCTGGGAATAAACCTGAAAGCAATCATCCCTGGGGAGGAATCTCCCCTAAACATACAGACTTTTAACTCACAGTTAAGCTCCTAAATCCATAGAGTGACATTTAAAATTAGTGGCCTGCTTTTTGCTGCCAGCTGCCTAGCACTGAACTATGGATGCAAGAATGTAACTGAGGCACCTATAAGATACTGACAATTTTTTTTTTTTTGAGACAGAGGGAGGTATGTGTTGTGCTTATTAATTAAATGTTGGTAAAAGCACATCAGAAGTAAACAGGACAAGGACATTAGAACTGTAAGCTATTTCTTTCCTTAATCTAACTTTGTGCATTTTTTTAAGTAATGCAATTATTTGACTACTAATGTCATCCAGTAACCTTATGAGAGCTTCGAGTAGAATTGTTTTAATAAATAAGATATCTTTTTCAGGCTGTATTCTAATAACATTTACAGAAGTAATTATTTTATATGACCAGAAAAACCTTGATGACAAGTGTTTAGTCTTTGTTTTTCAATGAATTCCACTGAGGCCCTTTAAGGTTTTTTTTTCCCTCTGTAGCTCTATGATCATACCAGTTCTTTTTAAAGCATGTAATAGCTCTGTTTTTCATTCCCACTTTCTATTTCTAAATGTATCCATCTTTTGTGGTAAAAATCAATAATTATGATTTGCAATTGCTGCTTTTTATGTCTAATATTAATGGAATTCAGTGAATAAAAATCTATTGGTTTTGTGTGCTCTGTCACTGAGTCAATACTGTTATCACCAGGCTGATGAAGAACCGATAGAAATCTGGATTTGTCACTCATTTTGATAGAAGGTTCAAGTGGTGTATTTTTGATGGTGACTTCGGAAAAAATTCAAATTCTTCATTGCTTTGCTATACCATTGAATATTTTACATTTATTGACTTTATTTTTGAGGGAAAGAACAGTGTTTTCTGGTTAAACTCTGATGATCTTCTACTGACAGCATTTTCACAGTCTCCCTAAAACTTTGGTGGTTGGGGGTACTGTTTACTTGTGTTTACCCATAGAGGTCAATGAATCAGTGTATTTACAATAGTAGGAGTGAGTTGCCTACTTTTGTGAAAAAGATGTAGAGAAGAGAGATCTGCCTGAAGATCATTATAATTGACAATGTAGAAAAGAATTCTCATTGCTTTTCCTCTACATGTGAAACAGCAGCCCAGTCAAATTTATTTTGCTCTAAGTGCCACAGTACTTTTCCAGTAACTGAATTTGCAAAGGCTGCAGTTCAGCTTTGTGAATAGTGATTGGTCACAAATTTATTCTGACATCTATGGATGAGACAATACATCAGGGCGTGCAGGTTTCAAGAACAGAAGCAAGCATGACAGTATCTTCCCCATATGTAGATTGACCTTAGCATCAGATTTAGAGGGAGGAAAATGGCAAGGGCAGAAATTTTGTGCTCTGACAAAGAGAATATCCAGTATTGAAGGAGAAAAACACTGGAAGCTTCAAAATGTGTGTGATCTTGTACAGCCAGAAGCTTTTACAAATGAGTTAGTTATGAGTGTGCACATTTAGACGTATGAAATAGGCAGTGGAGCATGCTGAGTATGCAGATTGTGAATGAACTAAGTAATTTACATTCTAAAAATGCTGGGGTTTGGTTTTTAGTAGATAAAATGAATCATCAGGAAATTCATATTCAAAATCTGGTGTTAATGAGCTTTTTTGTCCATGCACCAGTAAATCTGGCAAGACTGTTAAAAGTCTAATAGTTACAATCTGAATTTTTCCTAAGAGTGCATTTGTTCTTGTATTTCCAAAGGAAGTGGAAATTTTTCTAGAATGACAGCAACTAGAATCATCGGTAGAAATTTATTTTTATAGTATGAAATGAAGTAATTGAGTGATGGCTTAATTGTTTGAGATGTTAATAGAGGAAACTGAAAGCTAGATGACCTAATAAGAGAGTATAATTTATGTCTAAAAAGCAAAAGCAGAAAGTTTAGTGGTGCTTTTAAAAGATCTCAGAACTGTATTGCTTTGGGATAATCACTTCTGTTTTTCTATGAAAAAGTAGTTTTCTTCATAGCTAGAGTGTAATGAACTAGAATTGGAATGGTACAACTGAGGGGTTATGTTAGCAGGAAGAAAAAAAAAAATAGCATTGCTCTCCATGTGGCTTCAGGCTACAGTTTTCTGAAACTGTTTAACTGGAGGAACTGTGCTTAGCTTAACTGACATTTAATCAGTTTTGTTATTTGATTTACCTTGCTGGTACTGAAGAGAACCATCCATAGAAAATCCTGGCAGGAAGCAGCAGTGACTGCCATTAATCCTTCTATGACCCTGAAATACTTGTGCTGCTACTTGATGGAAGATGCTGTTTTCCCATCTTCTCTTGCAGTTGATAATTTCATAGTTGAATGATAAGGATATAATTTGATGTTACAGTTCTCTTGGAATACAAATCAGTGCAGATATCTTAAGAAACTGTGCTTATTTGCTAGTTTTGAGAAGCTCAGATGGACAAGGAACTTCATTCCCTCAAACACTGCTTTGCTTTCTTTAATAGGCGCCTGAACCTACTTATTTGGAGAGCACTACCTCAGGAGGAAAGAGACAAGTAAGCTGTCACCTTTTGGTTTTCTAACTTACCTCTGAAAGGCTGGTCATAAATATTTGATACTTTTTAATCACAATTTCTGTAAACAACTTGTTTTATTTTCAAATATTTCATAACTATACCTTACTTTCAAAAACGTATATGCGATATGGAGTAATATTAAATTCTGGACCTCCTTCTTGCAGATCTGATTATTTTTATAGGAAGGGACTTGCATTCCATCTGAATGGTGCTGATCTATTCTTAATGTGTCAAGTGGCAGGGCCTTGGGAGGGCAGCATGTCATTGCCTTTGGCATCAAGGTCAATCTTCTCTCATCTGGTAAAGAGCACTTTCCGTGGCTGGTTTGTAAAGGTATAATAAGCACCTTTACAGCATGTGCTGGAGCTGTATATCACACTGGAAGTTTGTACTACTTTAACTATCTTATTTCTGTATGTTGATTTAGAAAACTAGTGACTGTGTAAACAGGGCTGACATCAGTGAAGTTACCATCTGTTTACTTCAGAGAATAAAGTGAAGATCAATTATTGAAAACTGAATGGGCATGAAGTATTCCTAGGCAGAAAAATGGGAGTGAAAACTAGAATGCTTTTAAGAAGACATAAGCTAATGAGCAAAAAATACACAGTTCTATCATTAATAAGGAGAACTAAAACCACATTCTGGTGCAGAGAGGAAGTGAAGGCTGTTAAACAAAAGAACAGCATATAATTAAAAAAAGGAAATAGATGTCCATTGATAGACAATGAGTTGTACAGTATTGAAATTTGACAGAGTGGTATCCAAAATATTTTATTGTTGGTAACATATGGCCAATTATGTCTATAAGGAAAAAAAAGTTCTAGCAATTGTACAGACTGTTGCTAGAGGGGCATATTAAAATTTTTAATATTGGTGCATAGAAGTTGAAATACTTGATCTATTTCTCTTCTAAATTTACAATTTGAATGATCATGTTCATGTATTACAAAAGGATGACAACATACTTTCAAAATTAGTAATCTGGCAGACAGTAATAACCAAAGTCTACTAACTTGGTCACAGGAGTCCTGAAATAATTGGTGAGGAGCTTTCTCATTCGCTAGTGTGTATTCAAATGTTATCTCAGATACTAGGGAAATTCAATTTACTGAAGAAGTGGTAATATTGTGCTTGTGTTCAAAAATGGTTGAGAGATCCAACTCAGGAGATAAGTTAGCTTGACATTGATTTTAAATCAATAGTAGATTCAGGTAATAGAGAACAAAATCTAGGTAAATAATTATACCAGTCAGGTTAATTTCAATACAGAGCAGTTCCTAGAAGATTAGAGAGATAAGCAGTGACAAAGCGTAGGGCAACATGGTAGGCATCACCATGGTTGTATGTGTTGGTAAGACAGACACTTAAATACTCTCCCCAATTCTAGGTTTCATGTTTTTTTAAATGTTGGCAAAGCTGTAGAGAAGAGCAACAAAAGAGCTACTTTTTGAGTACCAAAAAGAAGTATGTCACTTCCAATTGGAGATGTAAAGAATTCTACCTGTTCTGGATTTTGAAGGGTTCAGTTTTTTGTTTGTTTTTTATCAACAAGATGACTGTATCTGATTCACCTTTCGGTTTATAAGTACCTTCAGTATGTAGCTTAAACTGGCTCTCTTGTCTAGTGGACATCAATATAATCTGAACCATGGATGGAAGCAAACTCCTGATCACTGAGTGAACTTGAGCAGTGCAGGAGTGACAGAGGAATAAACAGCAGGAGATTGTCTCTTTTTTATGTGATCTGTCAAGACTGATGTGGCAAATCAGGACTTCATAGATGTCTGGTGCCATTTTAGATTGTCTAGATGCTTGCCACTTCACCCTAGCTGGTGCTCCAGAAGGGCCAGGGATTTCCATAATTTCTTAGTCGTATCTGCAAGTTCTTTATTGATGCCTCACATATTCTAGGACGTCTAAAATGGCACCAGATATCTATGCTCAGCCACTTGAATTGCTCTGTAGATGTCTTTCTATGAGATACGGTTAAGCCAGATGTGATTGACTGAACACAACAGTAGCTGCATGAAACACATGAACTTGCAGCATACAGAGGATAGATTGGATAATTTTGATGTTTTATTCTGCCTTTATGCTTTGTGATTCTATTTTTAAAGTACTGCCAAAATTAATTTTTTTCCTACTTGTGATTACTAATTTTTTTTTTTTTTTTTAAAGATTTGAAGAGGATGGGCCAGTTCAATATATGCAGCATAAAGAAGCTTTGCTGGAGGTGTTAGAGAATTTGGGATGGCCAATTTCCTATGAAGATGTAGTATTATTAGAAGATGAGATACTGGCAGCATTAACATATATACAACAAGCCTCTGATCTTCAGGAAGCTACCAAAAAGGAAACTGAGAAAAGCTCAGACTCACACATAAGCAACAACACAAAGGTAATAGATCAGAAGGGATTTTTTTCCCCCCAGCTATTCCTCTTCAATATGTGCTTCTGGAATAATTTTGTTCTATGGTTATAGCTGATAAAGTAGGCATTTAGCATGATGCTGTACAAATGGATAGAGGAAAGAAGGTAGTTTAAAAGAGAGCAAGCTTTCAATGACTTTTTTGAAGTACTGGGGAAGCAGAAGTTCTGAAGCTGAGAGCGCCAAAGAAATTGATCCTTTTAGAAACAAATCTGAGCAAAGTATCTTTATCTCCTCTGCAATGACAGCAGAGATGTATATGAAAGAAGAGAAAGAAGAGATATACTAAAGGCAACTATGAAATAAGATTTTTGGTTGGGTTAATATCTGATAAACAGGACTAAAAGATCTTGTAACATTGGAGTAATTCACTGTAATCTTCCATGGTATCTTTCTTGTAAGAGAAAAGATGAAGAGGTAGGATTCAGCTTCATATTTGGACACTAAAATTTAGTTGTCCATAAAATGTAAGCATACATGAACTGGTGGCTAATCACACAGTATTGTGAATGGAGTCAGTGGCATCTGGAGCTCATCCTGAAGTGGATGCCTATTTTTGGCGAGCCAGACTGCTCTCTCCACTCCATTAATACATTAGCAGAAAGTAGTTTAGCTACTCTGAAACTGTGATTGAAGTTTGTGATTTTTGATCGATCGATCGATCGATCTATCTGTCCCCCAGATGAACCTCTGAATTTAATTGGAATGCTATTGAGAGATTTAATGAAAGCATGAAGCAATGAATATAAAAATAAGGCTAGTAAGTTATTTTAGCTGCCCTATTTGAAGAGAGAATATACTTTTTCATTTTAGCTTTTTCTGTGCTGATATATGTGGTCAGAAAACATATCTTAGCTTACAATGTTGTATTCTCCTATTATTATTTTAACTCTTTCAGAACATTCTTGAAAATGAATTGATGGTTTTACCTTCAAGATATGAGTCTGAATTCTCAGGCAAATGAAGAACAGACTTTTAAGTTTTTAAAAGCAATTTAATGTTCCAGAATGGAAAGATTTCTGTATACACTATTGATGCTTTAAAATTCAAAGTACTTACCTCTGAAAAAAACAAACCATTTCTCTTGTTTGGTTTCAAGTTTTTTCATCTAAAAGCTTCATCAAACAGTGCCTCACTGGGAGTGCTGCTACCTCTGCATAACTGCTGTTTAGATAGGGTAGTACTATGATAATATTAAAATAAGCTCTCTAGAAAATTAATAAGAAAGAAAATCTTTTCTCAGACCTTTAAGTTCTCATAGAGGATAAGGAAAAACAAATAGAGAATTAATAATGAATATCATATATTAATATTACTCCTTTTCTTTTTTGTTGTTTTGTATCATTGGGTGAGGGAAACTACTCTGACTGACCTTGAAGGTGTGGTTGGCTTAGTTGCAGTGAATGCTGAGGAAACTCCTGTGCTTTGTATTATGTAGGAAGCATAATCGAACGATCATAATAGTTCTTTTTTGCCCTGAGGTATGCATGTATACATATACAAATATGTGTGTATATATATACACACACATACATACATACATCAGTTTGAAGAGGTAAGCTCAATGAAACTCAAATGAGCACAGTACAAACCTATACTGTGACTTCTCAGCAATGAATGGGAATGTACAATTGCAATTTACAGAGGTGTGGTTGGCTTAGTTGCAGTGAATGCTGAGGAAACTCCTGTGCTTTGTATTATGTAGGAAGCATAATCGAACGATCATAATAGTTCTTTTTTGCCCTGAGGTATGCATGTATACATATACAAATATGTGTGTATATATATACACACACATACATACATACATCAGTTTGAAGAGGTAAGCTCAATGAAACTCAAATGAGCACAGTACAAACCTAAGTCAAAACTGTGACTTCTCAGCAATGAATGGGAATGTACAATTGGAATTTACAGCTGTAAATTATGCCAAATATCCATATTCTCTGCTTACCAGAGTATACCAAAAATCTTTTGTTTTATTTGTCATTCCTGGGCTGAGATATACCTCTCTTTTCACTGAGATCAACAACAGTTTTCATGATGAGCTGTGGCCTTTTACATACTATGACATAATTTATAAAAAATTGTTTGTGTTAAATTGAATAGAATATATTATGATAGCACAGGCCACATATGAAAATAAGTGATTATGGAAAGGATCGGTAATTATGGAAAGGATAAAATTCAGTTTTCCGTAGTTTTTGAGAATTTTTTTCTGTACATTTGAAAACATTTTAATGTCTTTGAAAAACAGATGATCTTGATTCATTTTACATGAGTCTGAAAATACTACGTTGCTAATACAGCTATTTTGATTATTGATTTACCTCTGCCATATAAGGTCCCAATACAAGAGCAGCAGAAACTTGTTCATGTTTCATTTGTTGACCGTAATTTTACTGTTGCCTTGAAACAACCAACGTGTGCTCTCAGACATGATGTGATTAACATTGTGCAATCACTTATCCTGAGTCAGCCTGCTTTAGGAACCTAATCAGAGCACCATCTTCAGTAATTGCTAATCTACAACTGAAAGGCTTTGAGAGTGAGAGGCAGAAATGCAGTTGTAATTAGAGTTCTGTTTATGTGGTGTAAAAAGAAGTGAAAAAAGCCAGAAAAAAACTGGGGAGCCTTTTAAAAATGCTGTCGGAGGTTTTTCCAACTGTGATGTCTGTCTACAAAATGGGTGTAAAAAAATAAACTGCCAGCTGAAATACATTACAGCAAGGAAATAGCTGATATGGCACTGAATGAAAATTATCATTGCAAGATGGTAGAACAATCACAATTATCCTGGAGGTCTACTCAACAAAGCAGACTTTTAAATTTCCTGCTCATTTTTTTTCACTAAATTCAAAATAAAACCCCTTAGTTTTTAGCTTTTAAGGGTTCCTAATTACCTTCACAACTTCTTAAAAGAATTAGTAATCCTTTTTGGATGTCCTTGCTATGAGATCTTTCTGTTTAAGCCTACAGCTGAATTAATGGTCTGGTTATCCTCCCTCTGTGCTCTGACCTTCTCTGGGAGTTGTGTTCAGGCTGCTATGTTTGCACATATCTCTGAAAGGTAGGGTATGACAGTGCCTTATTGGAGGAGGATGAAGTAGACATCCATCTGCACAGGGCCGTGAGATGACTGAAAACCTCTAGTGATGCAAGAAGTAAATGCTTTGCAAAAGGAACAAGCACATTTAGTTATTATCAGGCAAAATATAAAACACTGAACGTTGATGATTACCTAATTGGAGGGCTGATTGTAGACTATATTTTATTCAGTCTACACTGTTCCTTTTGCTGTACAGATTAAAGCATGGTTTGGCAAAAACCTTCCTCTTCAGGCAGGCACTCAGCTTTCATCCAAAGATATTAAAAATGAGGAATGTATAATTTACTTTGTTTTCTCTAATAAGTAACTGCTTTGACTTAAAATATATCTGTTTTCTGTTTTGAACTTGTCAGGCATCATTTCTTATTATGTTATTTTCTCACTGAATTATAAAGCTGTTTAAAACATGATGTCACCTAGTAAAAGGAATTGTTCAGGGTCCCCTACCTACTTCTCATTAGACAACTTCAGGTCTACTGGGGTCATGGCGTTACTATTCTCCAAGCATGATAGCTTCCCAGACAGTTTGGTGCATTCCATTAATGGCCGTAACATTTTCATGTAAAGTATTACTTTCCCCAGTGTTATAATCTGACCATTGTGAGTGACAAAGAGCAGCTCCTCTCATACTAAATATTTCTGTTTCTTCATATGAATGGACTTCAGATTCTGCAGAGAAATAAAGCTGCATTCGTTGCTAAGGGTTAACTCTCATTAAGAATATACTTTTAAAAGTACTGTGTTTCCCTTAGGATGAGCTCAAACGTACAAGGCTTACGCTTGTTTGTGACCCTGCTGAATGGTCACCATGTGATTAAAAATAACTTAAAATGGTTAATAAGCATAATGTGTTTTGTAAAGCATGTTTATTTGGGTGGAAGGGGACCTCTAGTGGCTCACTGAGTCTGTTCTTTCTGAAAAATGCATTTCATAGGCAATTGATTTAATTATTCCTAATGAAATATTTATAGCTGAGACTTGATTCTTTACAAGAATGGAAATTCTGGATCTCCCTTGGCAGTTTCTTCTGTTTCCTGGTGTCCTATTTCTTACAGTCCTCGTTCTTCCTCACTGTTTAAGGATCACTAATTGCTGTCTGTTGATACTTTTTTTTTGCTTTCATATGTTTACTAAACAGCTTGGCAAAACCCTGCCTTTGTTCTTGTGTCCCTTTAGGGAGACTACATATAACTACCTAGAAACATTTTGTCAAATTTTCCATTGTCATCAGTGAAGCAACCTGCTGGACAGACAGTGTGTAGCTACAAGAAGTTAGGCTCTTTCATAAAAATGGACTGTGGTCTACACAGAATGGGCTTGTTGCCACTGACAGCCTGAGAAGAGCAGTGGTTGCTTGGCTCTGGAGGTGTCAGGATTGTGAAGAGCCAAAGTTACAGCCAAGATACATGGAGATCTGTGGCTAATCTTTCGATCTGTTCTCACTCACAGAAGGAAAGTGCAAAAACTAATCTCTTTGAAAGGGAATTTTAAAATGCAGCGGGTATTGGCAGGGGGAAACAAAGTCTCCTTCACCTCATGTAGTTTAATGCATTGCCTTCAACAGAAGCAGAGCTAAACAGAGTGAAAATCCGTGAGAATCAGATGGGGCTTTTTTGTAATAAAAATACTGGAGAATGATATCCCAGAAATGGGCACTCTGACAGTGTCTGGGTCAATTGTGCTGAACACCTAAATGCTGTGTGAGAGGCAGGAGAGATGGATTTGAATTTAGACAGTATTTCTGAGCCACCTGAATTCTGCAGGACTCGGTGTCCTCATTGTGGATGCCTGTGCAGTGTGCAGTGGAGTGCTGGAAGTTGCCCAAGTTATTAGTCAAGCATTACAAATTGGTTGATAATAAATATTCAGCAGCAGCTGTCCCTTTGGAGCCTGAGGAATTAAGTAAATGGTTTACCCAAATACCTTTTTGTGTCTGTGGAGCTGTAAGTCTTTGCACTCAAATGAGCCTTTGTTAGGTTGTACTTCAAGCAGTCGGTTAAGAGCTGTGAAGAGCCTCTGGTTTAGACTGAGTCTGAAAAACAGAAGTGTTGATATAATTTATATTCTATAGGGGTAAAGAATAAACTAGAAAAACCCCACATATCTCCCATTTAAAATATCTCTTTGCTTGTGTGTGTGTGTGTTTTGCTTAATTTTAGGACTTTTTTTAGGGTTGTTTGTGATTTTTGAGTGGGAGATTGGAAAAGAGAGTTTGTGATAGCTATAGCAAAACTGAGAACAAACAACTTTGACTAAGTTATTCTATCTTTTCTGTCATTATTACCTGTAAGGGAAAATAGAGTATCAAAATCAAATATATTTTTAGGAAGAAAGATGTTGTCAGACAAGGAAGCAGGTCATACACAGCCTAGCAAGCAGGGGTTTTTAGGAGTCTGTGATTTATGGTTGTTTTTCATAACAGGGTGTAGATGTGTGGAAAAGTTTGAGATTTCAAGCTGTATGTTTTTGTGATTCAAAGGAACTGTATAAAAGATGGATGCTTGCATATTGTTTACGACGTAGGCTCATACATACGTGTTTTAAAAATTAATGGGAAAACTATGATTTATTTAACTCTGCATGCTTATAATTTAGAAGGATTATTGTGAGCAGTATGGAGAAAATAGTAGACTTTTTCAAGAATTAATTTGCCATTGTAATAAATATAAATTACATTGTTATTCTAGAGGATTATTAAAATGTACTTCTAAAAATACTGGGATTACAGACTTTTTCATATTAGAAAGAAAATGTTTTTATATCATCAATTTTCTTAATTTTCTCAGAAGAGCAAAATATAAAGTGCTCTTTCCCATTCTGACATATACACATAATACCCTGATCCTCTCAAAACTTCCTGTAAGAGAGATGCCCTGAATGGGAAGAAATTCTTTCTTCTACAAAAAAAGGGATTCAGGAACATGATTTACTTTAAAGGCAAATAACACTGAGACTCCATAAAATGTTAATGTGAGATATAAAAGGCTTTCAGGTAAAAAAATATGGGGACTGTAAATTCAAGTACTCAGAAGCTCGGAAAGCCCAACAGTATGTTTTTACGTAAAGCCACTTGTGATTTGTGAGTCTTTGACTATTTTTCACATACTGTGTTTCCCACAGCCCCCTGCCTCAATTGTCGTGTGAGATCCATCGTGCTTTTTGCATTCATCATTCAGTTACTAGTAATTGCAGTCACTGACTTCAAGTCAGTCCACAACTAGCCAGCCTCATCAGTATTTCTGTTCTCACCACCTGGTGCATGGTGCCCCAGACTTATTGATGAGCAATTCAACAGTGAGCTCCAGTGTTCTTTTTGGCTGTGGTACGTTACAGGAGCTGTAGTCTGGGGAGTTGGCCCCCAAAGAGGAGAATTAGTGGAAGAAGAACTCAAACTCGCAGAGCAGAGTGATGGGCAGTGGCAGCTCTGGAAAATGTGGTTTAATATTTTGCTAAGCTGGAATGTTTTAGAACTGCTGAAAAACTTGAGTTTATAGTTTGTAAATAAACATTTTTTTCCAGACACTTCAAGATTAAAAAAAAAAAAAATTATTCTGTGTTTGATTTTTTTAATTGGTCATTCCATACAGTGAGGTACTTTTAACGAAAGTAAGATTATTGCAAAGACCAACCTATCTGGACAAAATGGATGTGTATAGCATGTTCACTTATTCTGCCAAATCATCTGATTTTTCCTTACCTCATTCTTGAATATGAATTGTACAACTTTGTAAAATTTTTTCTAGGAAAATGGCAGCCAGAACCATAATTCATCAAGGTAAGTTTCTGCCTGATCACTTGAAAATATAGGTGTTATGACCATGTAAACCAAGGTTTTATAGTGAAAACTCTCAGATGATCTTATCCATGAGTACTTCCTGCAAAATAGCTTCCTCTGTTTATAACTGTTGTGAATGTTTAAAATAATTCCAGTTTGCTGTGAATTACCTGCAGAGGTCATAACATTACATTGCCTAAATTTTTAATTAATTCCAAAGAATAGATGGAGGCTGACTCGCTTAGTTGTTGTGGAAAAAATAATTGTATCAAATTACAGAGACTTGAAGAAGAAACTGTGAAGTCAAAGTCTAAAAAAAGACAAAAAGGCCAAGTATTTTTGACTCACAAAAGCCAAAAGGTGATTGCAAGATCAGATGTCACAGGATTTTATTATCCAGGTATATATTTTTGTCCACATTTAAAATATTTTTTAGACTTAATTATTAATACTAATAAAACATAGTTTTGGTCATAATTAGCTACTTCTGCCTTCATCAGGTTTAGTATTACATGTGCATATTCATGAAAAATGAATATATATCTTGTGTGTACATATATATGCATTTATAAAAAGACATACATTAGAAAGCAGTGCTGATGTGCTTCTGATACGTTTATATAAGAACAGTATGGAAGGAAGTCCTTTAAAAGGAGTAACTGAGTATGCGAGAGTATTAACCTATCCCTCTTTGATGTCTCCCTTGACTGTTTCTGTTGAGCGTTTGGCAAAGGCCGAGCTTTTGTGTGTGTTCAAAGAATTCACTAAATGCTTCTGCCTTTTTGTTGAATTTTGAGCCAGAATAATTAGTAGGTAAAATTGTGTTCTGTTGTTTCATAAAAAAAGAGTGTGTGTGTGTGAGTGTGTGTGTATGTGTATTTATTTTTGTGTTACCTTTACTTGTTTATTTTTTTAAATTACATATTTTTAACTGCGGTAATAGTTTCATTATGTCAACAATCATTTACCTGATCAGCTTACAAATTTCAGACCTGGGCTTGGAAATTATTCTTAGTTTTATTTTTATGGCATTATTAAGAATGGTTACTGAGACTGTATTTTTTCAGGTACAAATTTCTCTATTGCCCTAGCACAGCTTACCCTAGCTAAATGAAAATGAAGAATGTACAGTATAGATACGTTTGACCTCAAGTGATGTGTGACAGCCTATAGGATTTTTAAAGAAAATTTCCACAAGGGGTAAAAGAAAAATAATTTGAATATTTTATTATGTTGGGTTTTTTAGGAACTGTGGTAAAGAATATCAGTTCTACCTGTGCACGTGTTGACTTCAACAATGGGGAGACCTGGATTGTACCTGTGAAGTTCACTATACCTGTGGGAGGTGCTATGCCATGCCCATATCTGCAGGTGAAAAATTGTATTTTTTTATGACAGCAAATATGCATTTTTAATTTTGTTCATTTGGTCACACACAGAATAAAGGTTAGATGATTTTTTAATCTTTTAAATCTATTTATTTTAAAGAAGAGATTTTAGTGATAATAATATCATGCTATTTTCAACATGCTATTTTTCATTTGTTTGGAGCTTGTTTTCATTGTAATCCTATGCCTTTGTTTACTAGAATTCTATATTATTTTCTTTATTAATGAATATTTGGCCACCTAGAGAAGAAGGGTGAGCTATTTACCAGCAGAATGATTGTTTCCTAGCACATAGATTATGAATCAAGGAGAGTCTTTTATAAACAATGTGATGTGCAGCAGGTTATAAACATTTGTTTTTCACAATGTATTTTAAATCCAGCAGATAACCTTATACTAAGGCAAATAACAGTAATAAAAAAAAAAAAAATTCCTATTCAATTTCTGTTTTATTTAAAATTTATCAGCTGACTACCTGTAATCACAGTTGTTTTTTCAGGTGATTCTTATTTTACACACGAGAGTGGTGATGGATACAAAAAGGATGCAGAATGGATACAGCTGTTTTCACTACAAAAAGCATTGTTATAACTGTTTTGTTACACTTAAAGCTAGAGACATGCCTTTTTTTCCCTTTGAAATGAAGGCAAATCCTGATCAGGTAGTTCCTGATATTCTGTAAGGGGACCATCCAATTCTAGAGAAGATCTCCAGAATTTGATAGAAAATTGTGACTTCTGTGTTCATTTTTAAAATCATAGAATCATAGAATGCTTTGGGTTGGAAGGGACCTTTAGAGATCATCTAGCCCAGCCCCAGAAAAACGGTTTTGTATAAGTCAGTTACATATGGAATTCTCTAAAATTCCCAAGGTTGGTTTAAAAGCTTACTAAAACCATAAATTTGCGTGAAGTTCAAGGGGCTGGAGAGTTGTAAGAGTTTCCTTATTCTGTTCATCTTGCTAGTTTAGCCCTGGTACATTTAGTAGGGCTCTATCCTTTACTTTTGCTTTGTGTTCTCTCCCTGATTCAGTGGAAATTGTGAGTTATCAGTACCTACAAGGACGAAGTTCTTCTTTTCGTTTAAAGATCCATATTAAAGCATGGAAACATGTTAGAATGATGATTTGTGTGAAAATATCTTAATATTTACCTTTTATGTCTTTTAAAACTTACAAGTTACACTGTTCTTGCAAACTGATGCTTTCCGGGTGTGCAGGTTGGAGATTATGTGTTTGCCAGAACTGGGACACAGACAGGAAATGAATATTATGCACCTGCCATTGTCATAGCAACACCAAAGAGGGTGGAAATGGGTGATAAACTCTACACAGTTCTGATATTCAACAACAGGAAAGTAAGTAAACCTAGAAGATTGTACCAATCTGGCAATGGTATTACCATTATTCTGTTTCTGATGAGGCAGATATAATTTTCCAGACTAATGACTCACTGTCCCAATCCCTGTCTCGGGCTAACCAAAGTAAATCAGATTTCAAGGCTCAATGAAGAGCTCATGTAATAGACATGAACCAAGAAATTCTGTAGGATAATTTATTCTTAAATCATACTCTCTTTTTTCCTCTTTAATCCGTTTGGTGGCTTTCACAAGCTCCATGCTGCTCAAATGAGAAACATAGTGGCTTTTATCACAGTCAGTATAGTCTTCAGTTCATTTCATTGTGTTTGTTTGTTTGTAAGCCATTGTGATGATTTTACTGCATTTTTCATAGTGCATATTAAGAAAATGTACTTTGTACTTGAAACTTTTATCTTCATTACTTAGAGGCTGATTACAGTTACATTAAAACAGTTGGCTTTTTATACATATGTATCTTCATTGTTTCTGAGATTTAGATTTAAATTAGATGAATGTTGATTGTATTATTGCAGGAACACTGTGTAAGAAGCGGGCTTATTAAAATCAGCCAAACGAAGTATGCCTTTTCCTGTCAGTACATAAGAATGGTACAGATGGTGGATTATATGACGTGAGTGTGCTTGAAACTAAAAATATAAAAGTTATTGTACATGAATCCTAAATGGTGCACTTTGAGTTCAACTATGCTGTCAAATTTCCATATGTAGTACTCTAACTACAGTTGTTGTGAACTGGGTTGCTCTACACATGCAACCAAGTGATTTGACCCACAAGCGTGTCAACCAGAAGAGCATTAACTGTCTGTCCTACCATTTTATTATCTGTCAATTTATTGCCCTAATTTCATTTTGGAAACATTGGTGGGATGTGATGACTTGACGCTTAGCCCCAGGAAGCTGTTAGAGGATTGCTGAAAAGGTGAGATGGAGTTTCTATTTGTTGTAGACCTTATTTTTCTTTTAAGATATTTAGAATCATAGAATCTTTTAGGTTGGAAAAGACCTTTAAGATCATCCAGTCCAGATCATTAACCTAACATTACCAAGTCCACCACTAAACCAATTAAGGGTAGAGTAGCAATTTCATGTTTCCTGGCTTGGTGGCTGCATTATTTTTAATGAAAGTAAAAACTAGGAATCATTAAGATTGGAAAGGACCCCTAAGATCATCATTCCAATCATCAACCCAACACCACCATGCCCACTAAACCATGTCTCAAAGTGCCACATCTACTTGTTTTTTGAACACCTCCAGGGATGGTGACTCCACCACCTCTCTGGGCAGCCTGTTCTAATGCTTGACCACCCTTTCCGTGAAGAAATTTCTCCTAATATCCAATCTAAACCTCCCCTGGTGCAGCTTGAGACCATTTCCTCTCGTCCTATCACGAACTACTTGGGAGAAGAGCCTGACACCCACCTCACTACAACCTC